TTTGATCAAATGTTTAATATCATGAATTCCAAAATGCATTTTGCCTAGGGATGCAAGTCACTCATGCATGTGATCAATTAGGACACTTGATCTTTCTTTGAGAAAGTGGAGTGTTATTTAAAATTTCTTAAAGTTTCTAATGAGAAACATAATAGCTCGATAAATATAATTGTCCATGGTGTCACAATTGCTGAACTATTAGCATATCTATTTCTTACTCTTAGTGCTCAGAGCTCAAGTTCAAAAACTGTGCATGAGTAATTTTTTCTTCTTTATTCTTTTTGTAAGAATAAAGCTCAATGTCCAATTTAAAAACAGAAAGCAGTTTTCATCCAAACTTTCAAAATTGTTGATATGTACTTTTCTTTACTGTGGCCTTTTTATTTGGTTAGACTTCTTTCAAATGATGGGTGTAATATATATGAATAGAAGTTTCATTATTGTAATGTTGAGAAATCATTACTTTTAACATAATAAGTATGTGCTGTTGTAGTACCACAAGTTTTATTTTACTGAGGACTCTCAACCCAATGCACTTTGTGTAATCTAACAGCTGTTAAAACCATTACTTATTTGTAAACACATAATAAAATATCCAAAGCATAAGGTTATGAACTATTATGCAGCTTGGGGGAAAAGTATGGTATCGTAAAACACAACCATTTTTGGTAATTTACATATTTCAGTTCATAGATTTTGGTCAACCAGGAGGCCAAATAAATTATTCAAATGTACCAATATGTCAGAGAGTTTAAGTTTATGTTCAGAGATTCAGAATATGAAGAAAACATTTAAACATTAATAAAAATAATTAAAGTACTATTATACAAGGGTACCAACTTTGCACAGCCAATATTATAGCATTAACATAATGCCACTCCAGCAAACATGAGTCCATCTCCAAAAGAATAAGTAATGGAGAAAGACGAAGATCATTTTTAGTTACACATTACAATTAGGAGAGTGAAGGAAGCTTACTTTCTGATTTGTGCGATTCTACAAGACTCATTTTTATTTTCTAGGTTACATAAAAACTCAGCATTATTGGAAGAATAAGCAGGAAGACTTAATTGCCAAACGGACATTGGATAACCTGAGAAGGGAATTATGCCGTCTTTGTGGACAGAAAGGATCAGAGTTGACGCCTATATTTAAACCAACCATAGATATGTCGAAGGACATGCCTATATCATCAAAAATTGACATGTACCTTCCTATCAAGGTATTAATTTCAGTATTTCATTGATACATTTGCTGATATGAGGTTCTAAAATTAAATTTTGCAATTATGTGAACGCAAAAATGTGTTCAACGCCCTTTTGTTTCTAATGAAGCAAATGAAGCTTAATAAAAAAATCCCAAGGTATTATAAGGATTATGGTATTTCACTATATTCAATGATTAAAAAAATTGTCATTTAAATCATCCAGAGAAGTTAAAGATTTTGGTTGAAGTAGGGTATAGCAAAGTGTGGACGATTTAATTGAATTGTGAAAATACATTTCTGAATTAATTTTAATGGTTCGTAATTGGTCACGAACATGACGTCAAAAGTTAGGCGGGAGGGCAATTTCACCGTAGTATTTCGCCGGGGCTTCATTACATAGTGGTGCCTAGTAGTGTTGAAGTGATGTTTTTCTGTGTCAGAGTAGCTGTCGAAGTGGTTAGCTATGTTACTGTTGTACAGTTACGTTTCTTGCTTTCTTCAGATTCTTTCTGATTTGTTATTTTGAATGTCGAGTGTCTGCGCTACAATGGTGAGAATAAATGTGGCTTTTTTTTTACGCGTTGAGCCAAAGGGGGTGTTTGGCTGTTATTGAATGGGCACAAGAACGTGGTTTGATTGCTACAGGATTTAGGTGTCTTGTGTGTAAGTGTCCAATGAGGTTGGCCAAGCGAAAGGAGTTGTGTGATGGTTTCGAGTGGAAGTGTAGCAAGAAAGGGGCCACTCCTCATGTGTGAAAGTGTTCAGTGCGGAAGGGGTCATGGTTCGTACAGCTAACCAGTTAGACAGCTACCTGGCAGAATATGTTTGGAGACGCCTTCAAGGGGGCAAATAGCCAACGGAGAGGTTTTTGTCGTTTCTTGAGGGCGCCTCCAAACTCCATGAGCAGTAACAATCGCCAATCGATAAGTTTTATTTATTTCTATCTGAGCACTTAGCGTAATTAGAGGAACGGCTTAAGGAGATTCCCCTTCTACTCCTTCCCCCTTCTCTCTCCTTTCCCCTAAACCACTTCCCCCTCCCCATCCCCCCAACCGCAATGCTTCTCAAAGGGTGTACTCTATATTAACCATATACAGACATGTCTTTAAATACATATTGTTGTGCAAGGTTCATTAAACAGTGGTTAAATAAGTAATTAAATTGTGGATTGGGAGGGGTCACTTGAATTGTTATAGTAAATGTATAAATAATGTTGTATTCATTTTTCTAGGCTATATCTAGTATGGTCTAATTATTGGTATATGTCCAAAAATTTTAACATTGAGATTTTGTTAGTAAAATCCCTTTTTAAAAGCCCTTGAATCAATATAAGGGATTTTACCGCAAGGTCTACGTTGGAATTTTGTGCATTTTCTTTGTTTGTTTTGCACATTTTCGGCAGATTGAAAGCTTTTGAGATCACTTGGTTTACACAAACAGTAAGGACTGTTAGAACCACTTGAAAATTGTTTCAGATGGATGCAAATAGTGAGGAGATACACCCAGTATGCAGCCAAAACATACCAATAATGCCTGATCTGTTTTTCATTTAGTCTGCAAATATTTTCAATTTATGGACACGCTTCTTTAAACATTTTAACAAATAGTATTTTGAACTTTTCTATATGTTGCAGGTGAAATTGGACGATTCTTTGCCTTTTTGTATTTGTTCCAATTGTTTGTTAGTTTTGAATCACTGGCATGAGTTGTATACCACTTGTGTTGCTGCTGATTCAGTTTTTTCGAAGACCTTTGTTAAAGAATCTCATGTGAGTGTCAAAATATTTTTGAAGTAATTTTTGTCCAAAAAAACATTTCTTGTGTCATTACATATGTGTACATTTTATTATGTAGAGTTATTCACATTTTTTGGCACATTTATTGTAGATTAACATTGTTTCAATGAGTAGGATGACTCGTGAAAATTTTTATATTTTTCCTTTTTGTGGGTGTGCTTGAGAGTGTGCGTGTGTACAGAGGAATCTCGTATGTTTTTGAAGAAACTGACAAATTTTGAATGTGGGAGAAAACATGCTAATGAGAAACTTGTACTTTTCATTTTTCCCTCTGCAAGCAATTATAAAAGAGAAAACTAATAGACATGTAAATGATACAAATATTCACTGAATGAACTAATTTATTGATAAATGACTCTGAATGACCAAGGAATGCAGTAGATTTTTTAAAATAATATTCTATTTAATTGATATATGTCCGCTATTGTGTTTTCATACATACTGTTTACTGAATAGGTTTTCATTTTTAATTTTTCAGGCAAGTGTTAATAACCCAAGTACAAGGTATGTATAATCAAAATATTTCTCTTATATTCCAACTGATTGAAAAGTAAATTGATTTGAAACTCTTTTCCCAATTTCTTTTAATATTTAAAAATAAATTTTATTTTTATTTTCGTGGGAAGTCTTTCTTTCGGATTTTTTCCTTCATTAGGATGATCTAATTAAATTTACATTTTGAAATGTTTTCATATTCATCTGTTCATTTGTTTTGAAAGTGAAATTGTTTTCATTTCTTGCAGTGAAGTCCAACGAAATGCTGAAACTCAGACTGAGGAGAGGTTTTTGGGTGATTCTAAGGGGACTCTAAATGGGACTCCAACAGGTGCTATAACAGATGAGTTGCCTTCAGATTCTCTTAGAGATGAAACAAGAGGAAATGACATATGTACACATTGTGGGGAGAGTAAAACGAGCAAATTAGAAGAAGACAAATTATTTAAAAAAGAGTTCGCTAAAAACTTCCATATGTATCGAAACATTTCATATAAGTGTCGTTTCTGTTATGAACTATTTCGGGATACTGCTGACCGTAAGAATCACATGGCAATGTGTCGTCAGTTATCAACAATTTGTGAATTGTGTGGTCATGAAGTGCCTTGTAGAAAGGACTTAAAGAGACATAAATATGATAAACATAATGCTTCTCCTCAAAAATACTTATGTGATAAGTGTCACAAATTCTTTAAATCTACTTCCATACTCAAAAATCACGTTAAAAGAATTCATGGTGCAGATAATTCTGGGAAGTATTGTTGCGAACTTTGTGGCTCTTTGTTTATGCAAGAAATTTATTATAATCTGCACAAAAGGAGACATGAATTGGGGAAGGTGAAAACTGTGTTTAAAATGGAAAATTTTCGTCAGGAAGTAAATTCTGAAGGTTCTGAAAATGGCATTATATATGTTTGTCCTGTATGTCAAGAAAAGTTTAATGATATGACATCACTGGCGGTTCATCTTGCTGAGAAGAAGGAATTGAAATGCTCATTATGCCCCAAAGTTGTGTATTGTGAGAAAAGTCTTTTTCTCCATGTGTGTGGACAGTGGACCTGTCAGTACTGCTTAAAATCATTTGATAAAAGAGTAAAGTGGTTGGTTCATGAACGTTGGCACACAGGAGAAAAACCAATCAAGTGTAGAAAATGTGATCAGACGTTCCGCACGTGGCAGAGTCGAAGATTGCATGAATCATATCATGAACCTTCTTTCCAGTGCACCTACTGTGGAAGGAGTTTTAGAAATAAATATGTATTTCAAGACCATGTTTCATGTCATGAAGGAAAGGAATTTCCATGCAATTTTTGCAACAAAAAATTCAGTGGCCGGAAAAGTTTGGGTAGACATATTAGAGCTTTTCACAAAGACTTAAAATCCAATTTGTACTAGAGAATATGAGATATTCTCTACAAAAGTAGGTACTGTGTCACAATATACGGTCCTGAAAATTCCAAAATAATAGTAAAAGTAATAAATTCTTTCCATTAATTTTGCAGTATTTTGAATATTGATATTAAGCATTATCTATTCTTCACTTTTGGGAGTAAAATACAATGGATAAGTTAGAAATGGATTGGTTTCAAAATTCTAGTTGAATTTGTTTCATTAGGATTTTCCTCTTTCTTAGCATCATAACTGTCATATGAGTGAAGACAACTGAAAAATTGCGAATCGTCAAGGAATATGTGATTTACTGGTAACATCATGGATATTTTGTATTTACCTGGAAAATGTTAAAACTGATGAATATTAAAATTGCTATAATTTAAGTGGTGAATTGAAAAGGGTAAATGCTGGTCTGATAAAATGGTTTTTGAGATTTTGGTGGTTGAATAGATTGGTGTTTTGATTCATTTCTAAAGTGCTTTATGCATCATTGTTCTCAAGATTACAGATGTAAATGTGTATTAAAGGGGCTCTCACACAGTGGACTGACCTGTTAGACTATCCTGAGTGAACCTATAATATTAAAGATGTCTTTACTTATCAGACTATATAATAGAAGCCTGTAGATTATGCAGTGCATCAAACTTCTCTCTGGACATTTAAAAATAAAAATGTGCTGGAAACAATTTGTTTTCACGCATAAATGAAATTCATTGTATTCTGTTTTTATGGTTAGTTTGCTATTCCCATGTCAATTTTCTGGGTATCTGTAAAACATTTGAAAGTATAGGAAGGAAATATAGTGATGTGTAGTTGCCCATAACTAGTCTGATTCCACTATATTGTACATTTTGTCCAAAGTCAGTCCTCCTCATATTTTGGTTCAAACTCTTTTTTTGTTATCTCTTGTAGTGGTTGCAATAATAACAATACCCTTGGTTGTTGGCCGTGCAATATCTGCACCAGACTAAAGGCTCTCACAGACCGGCGCGGGAGATTCGCAGCGGGTGCGGCGCTCCGAGCTGGACCCGGCGGCGGAATCAGCGGAACCTTTCACACCGGAGCGTCTTATTATGACCCAGCGTTTGGTGACAGTTTTCCTCTTCCGATAAACAAAGGCAAAGGGAACGAAGTCTCTCTCCCGAAGGCGGGCGGACATCCGCCAAGCTCGCGATAAATCCGTAGGTTTTAAAATGGTGCCAATCCGCTGCCCCGACGCTCGCCTCCCGCACAGGTCTGAACGTGCCCATAAGGCAACACGTGACGCGAAATTTCCGCTGCGGCCATTCCGCGTAGGCTGCGGGTCTTCCGCGTCGTTTTGTGGGAGCCTTTACTCCATTGTAAGCTACCATTGGTGCATACTATGAGCAGCAACAATGCTGACTGGCCAGAACCGTTTTGAAAGCTTTGGAGCCCTTGAGCCTACGTTAATTTGGAGTCCCGCTGTACCTACTTTCGCCGATCTCCGCCGCATCCCTAATTTGAAGACAAGTTTGCCAAAAAAACCAACTTTCATCACTGAGTGCATTCATCAACCAGCAACATTGTGCATTATAAATATCCAATAATGCGCGCCACATCACTCCGTTATGTCAGTTTTTTGCGTGTAGTTTTAATCATTCATCACTTAACGTTTTTTTATTTTATTTTTTGAAAAAATATTATTGATTATATTTTTTAAGAACTATTAGGGGCCCTGGGCAGGCCTGTGCATTAACATGGTCCTGCGACTGCCCCCTGCAATATTATGATATTTGCATATTTTGCTTTCATCATTGATGACTTGTTGAGCAAAATTGTGCCGTAACTGTAATTTTGTTTTCTACATTACATGACTTTTTACATGTAGGCAATGTAATCTATGTTGACTATGTATTTTTTCTCATCAAATAAAAAGGAATTTTGTAGTACCTAATAGTAGAAGCATGTTCAAATGTAATATTAAAAATTTTATTTCCTCGGGAGCTTTGAGCTTGTTTTGGCTGGGGTGGTGCCCCGCTGGTGAAAGATACCTGGTTGAGGGAAACCCCGCTAGCCAACGGTAGGTTGGTGCCGTATATCGCCCTCCAGCGGGGGAAGCTCACAGCCGCCCCCTGATGAAAAATCATGAACTGACGAGAGTAATGACCTTGGTAGTTGACGCATCCGTAATCACTAACAACCATAAGGAATAGTTCATTACGAGGTTAAGAACTGATCACTGCAAGTACTTTTGGTAGGTGTAAAATTAATCCTAAATGTGATCACTAGAGGGCGGATTTTGATGACCTAAAACACTGCTAAAAATGATCAATAAAATGCCCTAAAATCAAAGAAAAACTATGTAAAAAATTGATTAAAACCACCAGTTGAACATCTCAAGCTGTTGGATGTGTTACTGATTTAATCGATGCTTTTTGTTCAAATGTATTAAGTTTGCAAACTTTTGGTTTGTACTGTTCTTTAAAATAAAATCTCTACATTTTTTTCGCGAAATTGGCAGAACTGACAATGGCACGGATAGGCGTCACAGGGACCTTCGATTACATAGTACAACGGCTGACATTACAATATAACCATTAACATTAAAATATTAAAATCTATGAAATTAAAAATGATGCAAAAAGTGACTTAGTCAAAATCGACGAAAAATGACAAAATAGGTCATTTTCTGATTCTATCCTATTCTAGTCTATTCTGATTCTATCCTAAAGGGAAATGAAAAAAAAAATCATTTCATTAAAATCCGCCCCTTAGTGATCACTTAAGTTCCAATAAATGTTCCATATAAACCAGTGACTGCTCGTGTCTATTTTCATATGCGCACATTAAAATTAATTTGATGCATTTTCTCTTAAGAATCCCTAAACAACGGGAATGCAAGTCCTCTCGATGTGTTTCCGAAACATGGAATTTCATAACATACGCCAATCGCGGAAGCAGCGATTGACAGTCCTCTGCCAGTGCCCTTCCTGAAAGCCAGCCGGCGCTTACTCAGGAATTGCGAATCAGTAAAGCGCACCGTTAGGTGGAGGGGAAAGCGGGAACAACAGTGGCTTTGTGGATGGAAAGAGCATTGTGGTGAGTTCGATAATCACGTAAATGTTCTAATGAACTATGACAATAAATTACGAAAACATTTAACAAAATAGTATTCGGAAATAGCTCGTATGTTGTTTGACTTGCAATTGGAGCCCTTTCAATCCATATCGAATAAACGTTATACTATTATTTTCATGTTGGTGTAATTACAATTCTCAATATTTCTGTAGGTAAATCGAACAGAAAACACAGCTTACAAAAGAACAAACTAACAATAGGAAAAACTCTGATTACAATTGAATCGATTATTTTTAAAACCCCACAAGTCAGGAATTGTAATGTGGGTAAAAATGAACAATTAAGTACATAGATAACTTTTCCATTATTATTATTATTATTTCTGAAGCATAAATCTTCATTGAGAATGTTCGGATTCATATAATTTACTTGTGTCAATAGTCGCTGGACTTATTTAAAACTCTGACAAATTTCAAAAACCCATCAGGAATTTTTTACCTAAACATGTAAATAAATACACATCGTACGTTCAATTTGTAATTTGGCACATTTATTACACGTATAATATTGTACGTGAAATGTCAATGTGCTTAAACATCAAACGTGATTCGTATGACAGAAATAGTTGCTTGAAAATGTGTTTCTATGATCGTACATAGGAATAGGAAAGTCCCAATCTTCCCATAAGATCTTTTCTTCTGCCCAACTGTTTCTATACAATTAGAGACTATACTGACATCCAAGAGGAACGTAATATTAATGTTAACAATGACATTTAATGTATTTTATATCATTTGGATTGTATAATTATAAAGAACCTGTAACAAGTATTGAACTTCACCTTCTGGGTCAATAACCCCCCATCTCGATCAGGTTTTCGTCCAGTTTCCCTGATCCTCGAGCAAATGCTGAGATGGCCCCGTGGGCCAGTGTTTTGCTTCTGACATAAAGTAATAGTCAAATTAATTTCCCATAGCATGTACTACTATCGTCACTGTTTGTTACGTAATATAAATAAGAATATTTCATTAGGACACCGGTTTTACAAATCGCTGCTGTCAATGATTCCCAGTCGACACACTGTACTACTACAACGTAACGTTTCTGCGTGTTGAATTAAACTTCACTGTATATTTTATAACATATATAACGTTATTCGTGAACAATTTAATACACTTAAAAACTTACTTGGTTCTATTTACAGATATATTAACTTAATTTTTTCTTTAAACACGTACTCCGTTCTCTTGCTATATTTATTTCAATTCACTTCTACTATTATTTACACTGTTTCTTTCTTTACAGTTATCACCAGTTCGATGCTCCTGTCCAAGTCGAGCTGCTGCTGACCTAATCCTGCGCAGACGCAATTTCCCTGACAGGACCACCCATTCCCTGTGCAGACCATTTAATTCCTGCGCAGACCACACTTCACTGCGCCACCAGGGTCCACTACACTGCTGTTTTACGGCGATGCATACTTCACCAGCTCAGCTTCCCTGCTGACTGCTG